TAGACTCAATCAGTCTCCAGAATATGAAAGGCAGACTCATTGATCTGACATTTACAGAATGCCTTCAAAGCTCTTATTATAGGAAAACCATGAGTGACTGAAAACTCAGCAGCTCTCCACAGCAGCAGCTGTTTATGCCAATAAATTATCCATCGTGGTAAGTTCTCCAACTTCCCTCCAGAAGTTTTACAAGCTCTCAGTTGAAAAAAACTACTTATTTGTGATAATTCTTCACATCTGACTTATCAAGGTTAACTATCCATGGCACATTCTACAATTTTCTCTGTAGTCTCAGCCTTATCTGCCAGGAAAGACAATTTAGGAGTGGGATTGCCTTTAAAAAATAGAGAGTTTAGTTCTTCTCACCACTCCTCACTCCAGAAGTTTCACTTGTTTTTCACTTGTTTTTCTTAAACTACACTGTGATAACCACTATATGGCACTTACTATTGAACAGGAAGTATGAAACTGTCTAGAGTTCATTTCAGAAATCACTTTCCTATTCAACAACCTTACTTCCACCTAGGTTTGATGAAGCATTCTGACTGACCAGGTATCTGGTCACATTGTTTCTTCTTTGCCTCACTCTGTCATTTCCCTCTAATGTCCTCAGGAGCAAAATAAGATAGGAGGATGGCACAGAGATATAAATATATACAAATTGCCTATTATGACTCTCCAAAGTACTTCACTATACAGGCTACATACATTTTCTCAGTGTTGCTCATGGCTGGAGAATGTATACTTAATATTTACCACTTATTGAAGACAATATGTGTCAGCTACTTCATAAATACTGTCTCACTTAATCCTCATACACTACCACCCTGAAGTAGGTATCCTTATTTCCATTGTATATATGAGAAAACACAGGTCAAAGGCTGAAGCAACTTGCTTAAGGTTATACAATCAATGAGAATGTAGTAAAAAAAAAAAAAAGAATAAAGAGAAATCATTGGCTTAAGAAATTATTTAACTATGTGTCAAACTTTTAAAATATTTATAATACTTATAATGCTTTCAGTTTTAAAGAATGATTAAAGTATCATTCTTTAAGGAATAAAAGAATAATATGATTAAAAATGGATGAATCTTGAGAATATCATGCTAATCGAAATAAGTCAGAAAGAAAAAGTTAGGAACCATATGATTTCAGTCATATCTTTCCTAATAATAGACAAACATGCAAATTGGTGTCACTCCGCTACACCCACCAGCCAATCAGAGTGACTATGCAAATTAACCAAAGATAGTGGTTAATTTGCATATGTAGACGCCCAGCAGCCTGGGTCCCGGGAACATCATCGGCACCCAGGTCACTCCGAGGTAGGCACTGTGTGGGCCCTGAGCAGCCTAGGAAAGGCCTGAGCCAGGGGATTCCTGGGCTTAGGCTTGGGCAGGGGCGGAGCTGTTGATCTGAGGGTCTGGGGGTCACTTGCCCAGGCCTAAAGCCTCGGCCAGAGGCTTTAAGACTGGGCAGGGGCCGAGCCTGCAATCAGTGTGAACTACAGAGGAAACACCTTTTCTGACCTCTCATTGGCTAAGCTCCCTGTATGCCACTGGTAATATTCTTAGTAACTTGGTAATAAGAAATCCAA